ATTAGCACACTGGACGCAGCTGAGAAAAGAATCTCAAGGCTACAGGATATATCAATAGAATCCTCTAAAACCAAAGAGAATAAAGACTGAAAATGAAAAACATAGAACAGAATATCCAAGAACAATGGAATAACTACAAAAGGTGTAATCATGCATGTAAAGAGAACATTAGAAGAAGGAATAGAACATTTGAAACAATGATTGAGAATGTCCTCAAATTAATGTCAGACCTTAAACCACATATCCAGGAAGCTCAGAGAACACCAAGCATATAAATGCTAAAAAATAAAAAAAATAAAAAATAAAAAAAGAACACCTGGGCATATCATCTTCAAACTACAGAAAATTAAAGATTAAGGAAAACAAAATCACACATGAGTAAGGACTATTACCCAAAACATACAAAGAACTCTTAAAACTTAAAAAAAAAAAAAAAAAAAAAGAGCCAAAGACCAAAGACCTTGACAGACACCTCACACACAAAAAAATATACAAGTAAACATATGAAAAGATGCTCCACATCATGTCATCAGGGAAGGCAAGTTGAAACAATGAGATACCACTACACACCTATCAGAATGGCCAAAATCCAGCACACTGTCAATATCAAATGCTGGTGAGGATGTGGAGCAACAGGAACTCTCATTGCTGGTGGGAATGCAAAATAGTACAGCTACTGTGGAATACAGTTTGGCAGCTTCTTACAAAACTAAACATAACCTTAACATATGCACTAGCCAACAGTACTCCATGGTATTTACTCAAAGGAGTTGAAAGCTTAAGTCCACACAGAAACTACGTTCATAGTAGCTTTATTCATAATTGCCAAAACTTGGAAGTAACCAAATGCCCTTCACTAGGTGAATGGATAAACTGTTGTACATCCAATTTAATATTATTCAGCACTAAAAAGAGAAGCACAGGGAGGAACTTTAAGCGCTAATTCAAAGAGAAAGCACAGGCGATAAAAGGCTATTCTCCCTATATAAGCACATTTAAAGAAGGAAATCTAAAAAGGCAATAATTATGCTTCAATCTGAAGAGAATTATAGAATATAAAATGCAAAGGAAAACAACCCACTAGGATTTCTAGAAGAGCATGGTTTTACAAAATATCTAATGGAAGCAAGATTAGTGGAGATATCAGAAAAATGCTGCTGGCACCAATTTAGAAGCTGCTAACTTATTTCCCTCCAATACAATTTTTCAGGTATATATTAGTCTCCCCTTATCTGCAGGCACTCATTCCAAGATCTCCAGTGGAAGCCTGAAACCGTGGACAGTACTGAAACCTTTATTTACTGTTTTTCTTATACATACATATCTATAATAAAGTTTACTTGATAAATCAGGCAAAGAGATTAGCAACATAATTACTACAACAATTTGAAGTACAACAGCAAAACTAGCACAAATTTCTTTTTCCTCCTTGACAGTTACAGAAGATTTGTTTTTGCCATAGATCTTAGCAATCTCAGGATAAAATTTTTTCTTTCCTTAAGTCAAGAACTTTCACATTTTCACTTAAAGGAAGCACTTTCCTGCTTCTCTGGCATATCTGAATTGCCAGCATCACTATTCAAGGGCGTTGGGGCCATTATTAAGTAAAATAAGGGGTTTTTTTGCATACAAGCACTGTGATACCACAATAGTCAATCTGAAAACTGAGACAGCTACTAAGTGACTAACAGGGGGGTAGTATATATGCTAGACAAAGGGATGATTCATGTTCTGAGCAGGACAGAGTGGGATGGCAGGAGATTTCACCACAATACTCAGAAGGGTGCACAATTTAAAACTCAAATTGTTTATTTCTGGAATTTCTCATATAGTATTTTCAGACTGCAGTTGACCGTGGGTAACTGAAACCACAGAAAGTAAAATCACAGAAAGGGAGGAACTACTTTAAACTCTAATAGAAGTAGCTCCCACTGTGGATTATGATTGCATTCTTCATCACATGAAGCGTTCCCCAAAGAAACCAATGTCTTACATACAAATGCAAAAGAAAAAGGCAGGTTTTCCTACTAAGAACCCCTGAAAAACCATAGAAAGACTTTTATTGTGTCTTCTTGTGGCTATGTGCATAAAACCACATACGTAACACATTTTATACTAAAAAGCAAAATAGCAGAGCCACATCCCAGGAACAAACATTCAACAGGCACAGCACTGAAGAGGATATGGAGAGCTGAGCACAACCAGGAAAGGAAGGTGATCCCTCCATATTGGGGTACAGGATGTGCTGAGGAGTCTAACATTCTGAAAGTCGACAGAGTTGGGGTACAGATGAAACAGATAAAAGACTGGTGAAAAGAAATCAGGGAAGCAGAAGGTGAAAATACAGTATTTCTCAGGAACAGATCTGAAGTTGACCAATACAAGGAAAAAAGTCAAAAGATTGCTAGTGTGGTGTGTTCAGTGGCATCATGTGCAGAGACCAGTGAACGAGAAGGAGTAAAGTGAAATTATGAAAAGAGGGGCAATGGAATGGAGGCAGGAAATGAGAGAAAACAACTGACTGTTGCCACACCCCAGAACATATGCCGACAAAGGAGAAATTTCTGCCATTTCTATTCACTGTTACATACCCAATGCCTTTAATAGCGCCTGGCATAGAATGGGCAACTAATAAATACTTGTTAAATTAATGAATTTTCCCCGAGGCTAACTTGTTCTGTAAGACTTGGGGGCAAATGGAAGAGAATCACTTAGGAGAAAGCTGAATATGCAGACTCAAAGCAAAGACTGTGGCAATAGGTCAGTGTGGTAGAACTAACTTATATTCGAATGTTACAATTTTTCACCATTTCTTAATAAAAGTACAGAAAATTAAACATCCATGATAAAAGGGCTGCTGCAAAGAAACACTAAGCAGTTGCTGTTTCACTTAAAAATTCAAAGGTCTCGTGGCCTCAGATTTATATCCCCTGATCAAGAAAATAAAAGATTGGAAGTAGGGGAAGAAGCAACTAAATAAATGCACTTTCCACAGCATTCAAAACATATCCATGTTTAGAAAGTTTACATTGCTGGTTTATTATACCAAGTGGATAAAGAATAGCAATGTAAAACTTTATCCAAATAAAGAACACCATTTTCTATTTTCTGTACAATATGCAACTGTGAAGGGTCAAAAAAGGTTTGAATTACATATGAGATTTTTTTTAGGTTCACAAACTGCTCATGTTAAGTTTCAAATGCAGCAAGTTTTAAGATTCTGTAATACTTATCTTTACTATGTACAATGCCTAGACACTCTCCTCTAATTTCATGGTATTTAATATATTTATATACATATATATGTACACACATCCATCCCAGGAAAGACTATGTTAAGATACAAAATAAACGAGAAACTATATTGATCTAAAGCATTTATAATCTACTCCAAATATGAGTATAATGGCATTCAATGTGCATAAAATCTTTAAAACACATCATGTACCTTTTTAAAATCTTGTTTTTGAAGACTTGTAATGATATGGAGATATAATCATATTACCAAGTTACGTGATGAGAACAAGGTACAATTCCACATATACATATAATATTAAAACAAAAATATAAGATTATAGATATTATAAATCTGCCAAATTAACGGTGGTTATATCTGTGTGGTAGATAATGCATGATTTTAAGTTTTCTATCCTTCTTCATACTCAAAGTACTTTACCTATATTCCACATTGCTGAGTTTTAGAGATATTCAAAAAAAGAAGTTAGTCTCATAAAATGTTTTGCAATTACTTACCACATTATAATAGCTTTTGTTAATGGCAGTCGTATCTAATCCTTTGGGAGGGCTCTTCAATGTTCCAGATTTGGGAGATACGGGCTTTTCTGAAATAAAAATGTAATGTAGTTTTACTGATCAACACTAGAGACAAACAAATGCACCAGCCACACC